TATAGGCACATCATGATTATATATGGGCACATCATGACTATATATGGGCACATCATGACTATATATGGGCACATCATAACTATATACAGGTAGACAACAGTTTTTTGTCAAAGAAAATTTGATAGTGTGGGCAAAGCTTAAGCTACCGTACTTTCAATCAAGGCGATACTCGTTACATTTATCTTCTGGGTGGTTAGTAATTTATGATTAGTAAAGCATAGCCTATAGTTCTATTAATTACGGTACATTTGATGATAATAAAAATAGGGAGTTTACAGGTTGTTAACCCATGTTTGAACTCTGGGCACTGAGGCTACAGTAGCTCGTGAAGAATGAATGGTTTATTAATACACCGAATTATTATAAAATAAGCAATCAGTATACATACTGTACAATTTGTTTTCACCTTTTGCACACGATCCGAAAAAAGATCAAGCAAAACGTGCACTAATGAAAAATTAGTGCACGGTTGGGATAGGAAAATAACATTGGGGGTTGACGTCACGATTGTCTTATAATGATTGTTATAACATATCGTCAAGTTATGGTTGTGAATTGAATAGACTTAACAAAAATTACAGGTAGAGCTTACCAGCAATTTGTTCTTCTGTTAATTGGTCCGACTGAAAAGAAGGAAAAATGACAATTTAACTTGCTGTTCTTGTACACAGTATTGTTCATTGACTAAACACAATCGAACAAGATGAACGAGCCGAAACAATCAGCTCCCTATGAAACGCCTCTATTTGAAATGTAAATAAGAAGGCGACCTTTGCGCACCATACTCTCTTTGACCTGGGATTGCCGTTTAACGATTCCGACATCACTGTCTGGAAAACCTCTTGCTCGAAAACACTAACACACAAAAGCACTTCACTACTGTATTATGCACCATAGGCCACCTTTGATTTAACGAGAATTCGAAATAACTATTATTCGAAAGCAATTAAATGACGTCGAATATAATAGACGAAAGTTAAGTCAACATAGTATAAATACATATATGCATATTTTGTATTTAATTTTCTGATTTTCCGAAATTCCGAAGTTTCATTAGGCTGTGTAATTTCATGCCTACGTGTTTTGATTTATGATAATAACGTACAATTATCTGATCTTAAATCAGGAAAATATAAACACAGAGTAGGCCTAGCCCAGCTTAATGGTTGTTGCTGTTAGATTATTTCTGAAAATGCACCTGCATCATCCCCGCTATGATAAAATCACGGTGAGTCATGCGTCATCGTTATAAGAAAAAAAAAAGACATCGAAAGAAAGAAGTAATTTGGCCTTTCGTTTCCCGTGGAGAAATTCAAACCCTTTTCATAGTTCCTATACTGGCTTGACTCTTGGGTGGCGCGCATACACAGTAGTTAACGTACCGTAAATCATGTACGCGTAAACATGATGTAAAATTAGCCAATCAGAAATGACAAGCTCCATGTTTATTATTATCATATTTTCTATTCAATGAATCTAGATGGACGATTGTGCCTCAAATTTAATTGTGATGTTAGCACAGACAAAGTGTACATGTTCCTACCGTTATGTAGGCCTCCTACTTAAAGTAATTGTCACTTTCACTTCAAAAACATCTACGTTTTAATCCCGCATAATTTATTAAATAATGATTGATAGGCAGCCTAACTTTTAAGTCTATAACAAACACAGGATACCGTATTTATAGAATTATTAGCGTCACAAAAATTTAGGTTTTTTTTTTTCTAGAAGCTAACATCTTCATAACGCAAAGTGTTTTTAGATTCAGTGTACTGTAATGCTTATCCGCTTATACCGTATCTACTCGTTTTCAATTTATTAATTTTCAGATTTCATTTATTGTCATAAAGCAAACCATATGAGATCATTTTAGAAGCAGTAAAATATGCAATATAATACTGTACCAACACTACACAGTAAACAATAAATATATAATATAAATGTACATACATTATATAATTTTAAGGCATCATGGAACACAGTTATTCATTAATTCATCAGTTTCAGCATATGAAAGCATGCACAATTATTTATGATTCATATAATGCTTATTAACAAATTTAAATTTTCATCAACTCGCCACAGGATGTAAATTCTGCGATGCTATTTAAACCACCAAATTTTAGGACGCTTCGTGAGTTGCTATGAGTTCTATGACTCTTCATATGTTTGCAAGATTTGAGCCCAGAACCGTGCGATATGCATGAAAGAAACACCATACCACCCCACAATCCCCACCTGACAGGTCACATGCCGCCCACTCTCGTCAGTCAAGACTCGGACCAAAATGTAACATTTAGGGAGAAAAAAAGCATTTCACATGCTGGACAGAATGAAAAATAATCGTAGAATGTTCAATTTGTCCTTAATTTAACATCCGCGCCCGCTCAAACAAGACAGTGATTAGAGAACTTTCTAATCAACTAAAGCACTATGGTACGCAAACCTTGTCATATTATGCATTTACTGTATTCCGTGAACATCTGTCTTTTTTTTTTTATTATAAAAATGCAGATGGGTAGGCCATAGGTCACAATACATATATTTACCAAGTTATTATTATATAATTTTTAGCATATGCCTATTCATCATCGTTCTTATTTAAATTTTCTGAATTTTTTAATGAGTTATATTTTGGCACTCTGTTGCACAGTTGTCACGAATTAACACACTTGCAAATAGGTTAGATATATACCCTACCAATGAGCTATTTTTGTTGAAGGACAATGTGTGATATGATCATAACATCAAATGTTCCTATTTGAGCAATGTTGCAAAGTGTTAAATGAATTGTGTGGTTTTCAGGAGTTTATTACAACCTTTTAAGAGAACAATATCATATATGCTTCTTTTTTTTTTTTACTTTTGCCACGCCATTAATTAATACACTCGCCAATTTTGGTATTTTTCTTTATAACAATGACACCATAATACACGCATGTGAAATGCTAGAAATAAGCGCGAATGTTTTACAAGGGCGTATAATACGGTATAACGTCATGAACAAAGCAATGACAGGATATGTCTTCTTATGGAACAATACCGTACTCATTAGTGCGATGAGTATAAACATCGCGGTAATTAATAATTTAACACTATACAATGATAAGTGTGTATGTCAGAAACTAGCACGATACACGTAACACGTGGCATATCTTCATGTACAAGCACAGCATTATATTAAGTTTTCAGCCGAACAATAAATCTTGAACATGCTGGGATTTCCGCCTCCATGTTTTTGTGGTTTTTTTTGCGGGTTTTTTTTTTTGCGTACTGTAGTTACGTGGTGTCAACCAGGTGTCAACTATCTGTCTATGAAGCACGTGATCGCGTTACACGTTGTCACGTATTCACGCACAAATGGGGTTACGTGTGTGCTGAATCGTAGCCAATTGCAAGTTGGAGAGGTGAAAGTCTATCATCCAGAGAGGCTGATAATTTGAGACTCTTTAGATATTTGACAAGATTAATAGTTGAGTTGCAAAAAAATAATAAAACAGTACATTTTTTACCAGGAATGAAGGGTACTAAAGTATTGCTAAATGTAAACTTTACCATCCTGCCACACCTGACGGAAACCTGTGGACCTTACCTTTGACACCTTAATTTACAATACAAGAATAGTTTACAGTTTGTGCTATTAATTATTAACAAGCGGAGGTGTATGAATATCCGGGTACTTGGATCGTTCGCCTCGTCGACGATCTAGACGTTTTACGAGTCCTGTGCAGGTTGTTTTATGATTTGTCCAACAAAATGCATAAATTCAAACGAGGTAATCATTTTAATCACATCCCGCAATCTTCGATTTTTTGAATCAGAGTGGAGTATGTAAATCGATTTTCATTTAGTCATATTGGCATGGAACACTGCCATCAGGTATCCAACACAATAACGACAAAATTACATAATTACTTTTCGAGAGATATTTTTGCCATTCATTAGGACTATTTGACGTTCGTCCTCGTGATATTATTAAATTCATTTGACATTATCGAATCCTCAGGGTTGCTGAAGATCGAATTATCTTAATCTTGAAGAAAACATCCTGATCATGGTACATGCAAGTTTACAGTACTCGATGGTTAAATTCGATTTTTGCTGGTATACAACTTAATGTTGTTCCCTGTTGTTGAGCATGATTATGTTCCCCAAGCACGCGCCCTCTACAGTGTGGATGGAGCAGAATTAATGTTATTTATTTTTACATTTATTTTTCATTACAGTACATTAGGGTTCCATTTTTGCTTAGTGTGATTTTAACTGTAGACCTAGAATAGGGCACAACTGAAACTAACTACGACCATGTTTAATAGTTCCATTTTTGTTATTTTAACTGTAATAGCTAGAAAAGGGCGCAACTGATATTTTTGTATATTAGGCCTACTCTAACAATAATTATAATAATTGTCTAGTTTATTTAGGCCTAGGCCTATGTAGCGTTTTTCTAATTTGAAGACCGTGTAAAAGCGCTTTCAGCGTTATTACTCATGGTCATACTGATTCGCTGACAAAGGCATATGAATTAGTTTAATTGATTCAGTAATTTAAGTTCATTCATTAATTAATTCTTCTAACGATCTGACAAAAAACCCCTGCAATCTCCGCTCTCCGCCGGGGAGTCTTTCAAGGCGCACTACATTATACGAGTGCACACTTACGCGTCTGTACGCTCTTTGTCTATATTATGACACCACCTCCCAGTGCTGCTAAAATGCATCGACAATTTTGTTTTACTTATGTTAAATTTCGTTAGTTAGTATTTGTCTACAAAAACTAAAAACCTTTTGAAGTTTAGGCAAGTTTATCTTAAATCAGTAATTTTCAAATATTTATATCAATAAGTTTTATTATGCTGGCATATGGTTGATTGCCAACAGGCTGCTGACGAATAGCGCGTCAATCTCGTTCAATAGAGATGTCACAAGGTTACGGAAACCATAACGAATACGGTTACGTCATCATGTAGACAACCCTTCCTCTACAGTAACATACCTGTCATAACGTAGACGATTCATGTCTTTTGCATGAATAGACCTTTCCGGAGTGTCAATCAAACTTAACAACTGACTAATCAGAAAAGCGCTAGGAATACGCGCGCGTCTCACAAACACACGTGTTGTCCCACAAACGCACGTGTTCACCTATGTTTTAACCATGGTTTAACACTGTCGCTTTGTGGGACCTTAGCAACCATATCCAAGGGGCGGAGCTTAGCGGAAAGGCCCATTAATAATAATAATAATAATATGTCGTTCTTATATAGCGCTTCATGCCTTTACAAGGCCTCTAAGCTCGTACAGCATACTGTCAAGATTGTGTTTGGCAAGGATGACGATAATAATAATGACGTAGGCCTATTTGTTCGTTATCGTTTTCGTAAGGTTGCAAAATCTCAGCACATCACGATGATTGTCCAATCACGAGTGATTCAAATATAAACATTTATTTTTAGTTACTGTTCCCTGGTATACATCTGATTTGACATAACATATTATTATGCATATTTTGTCATGTTATACGATTATATAGCAATGTATTTTATATTTATATCGAATAAAAGAAAGCCAATCGAAAACCTTTCAAATTCAATTTTAAAGAGGTTATTTCGACCCCCACAAACACAAACGTCTATTATTATTAATTCGACATAATATTGTTGTTTAATAAAGCAACGAGAATAATATACACAGGCATTGGTAGCGGAGATGTTGATTGATTATGCTTTTGGCAATAATTCGCGTCGCTAAGCTTGTTGATCTATTCATCCCTACAGCTTCCTGACTCCATCATAAAATATCTTAATTCGTTAGAATAATTAATATTAAAAGCATGATATCATTGCTGTAAGAGTTATAATAATTTTAAATAGAGCTAAATGTTTTTTATGGCAACGACTCAGATGAACCCGTCTGGTTCCCAGCCCACTAAATGTTGCGACAAGTCTAAATAATCGTACTAAAATCCGGGGATATAATTATGCACCTATTGTGACCATATTAAAAGAGGAATTTGAATACTTCAGTCAGAGTTAACTGAAAGAATATTGTGTTTTACGATTAATTTAGTACAAGTGTTGTGCCAACAAATGAACCGCGAACGAGTAAGCCTTCTGCTATTATAGCAAACTGAATTTTTACCAGACGATAGCCAAGCCATAGCAGCCGTATTTAAATCAGGATCATCGCGTTAAGCGATCGTGGAGCCATTTATGGATCAACTCAACAGGTTTAATCTCCGGGGAGTCATTATTATAATACCTTATTAGAAAAAATATATCTTCTTATATAGATAGATCATGGAGGAATACAAACAGCGATTGATGAATGGGCTCTTTATTATTATTATTAATCATCAAAATGTTGATTATATAAATTCCCCATTCCCTGATAATTGTACACCATACCGTAGGTACACAAGCCTAAATAATAAATTATGGTTGCCAAGCTTCACTTCAGTATTCACTTGCGGCGCACTAGTGGGTAACAATACTCAATAGAAACATGTAATTTAATCACATTTGTAACCCAAGGTAGATGTTTTATATTACGAAGCGAACAGGTAGTAGCGGGTGTCAAGGTGGCCATGACGTAGGCCAACTTCAATGGGGACACGTACACCGATGATGATCACAAAATGGCAGCACGCCTAGTTTTCCACGGAGGTGTATATATTGGAGGACGTTCTAATTGAACTGCAGTTCAAGAACCGAATACTGAGCGATATCGCACGCCATAGACGATCCCCTCACTTTTAGAAATGTACGCCACTGCTTCGCGATTTTTGATATAGTCCCATGATTTATTACGAACTTTACACGTTGCAAAATTTATTTTTAGACCTAATAGTGTTTCCCTTCGACCAATCTGAGAGGACGTGAGCAAATGCGGCGTTTCAAATTCTGGGGTCACAAGTGTTATAACAAACGAACAAATACTGCTGGTCAAGGTCATCATGGGGCCGGTCGTGTAGTGAACATAAAACGTACGAGTCATCTGAAGATGAGAGATTTGCCTATCAAATGAAAATTAAATTTAAATAAGCCTAAATGTCTTTTACAGCTAATAATTTTAAGCAGATTAACGGAATGGCGGTGCCTCAAAATACTAGAGGTAATACAAAATAGAACAGAAGAATTAGAATATGAAGAAGGCCAGGATCAGGGTTTATATCCATTTCAGGAGTGAAATAAACCATTAATGCAGAGATCAAACATCAGTGGGAGGGTACCATGTCAAAATGGTAAAATGTTAAATGAGGTTTTTATTCTTTTTTTTAATAGAAAAACCAACAAATCTATCTCCTTATTTGCAGTAGATGTGTCTATGTAGTACCCTCTATATACAGTACAGTGTATACTGCTGTAAAATTATAATTTTATATGTTTGAAAAGTGTGTAACATTAAGAACAAAATAAAAACATTTTGGGCCTGAAATTGGCAAAAAATAAGAACACCATGTCTGGGCAAAATTTTACTGGTTCTTATAAAAGAAAACAGCGTAGGCCTATACATATTCATGGCCACTTGCGTAAGAATATTTGATGAATTTAGTGCGTCTGGAAACGCATGTTGCGTTTCCATGCGATGAGATTTTGGCATGGTTGATGTTAAAAAAAAATCGACCTGTAGGTCAGATGAGCAAATTATGTAATCAATTGTACGCTCTACCCCATGCAAGTACATGTGACTCATGTACAGTAGAAGCATAACTCCCTGGTACAAGGAACAGGCGATCCTGCTTGGCGCGAAGCAGCCAAGATGTACCTACGATGACATACTTTTTTTTCGGATGAAATTTAAAAGAGGCCTTAACTATAATGTAAATAAAGGATGTAATCTATAGATTCGAAAACCTATATCTTTTGACTGATCTAAAAGTATCGTTCTTTATCCACTTTACTTCCTATTCTACAGGTGGTTAACATGCAGTACATGACCTAGCTAGCTTATCAACTTACGTGTTTTTGTAAGGACAAAAATAACACTATGATTTAACCAGTTTTGAAAACACAATGAACCAGAAAGTTAAGAACTTGGCCAGATCAAACAATAACTGATTTATGTACCCCAGTTGAGCACAGACTACTGCAAACATTTACTTCGACAAAATTCACATTTAGATACACTGATTTTCGATAGATATAAGCATGCACAAACGACTTAATATTGCATCGATTCGAAATTTAAAAAAAAACTTACCATGATTTTGTTTAGCTGTTTTTTGCGGTGGGATTGTCTGCTAACGAGCGAGATAACGAGCGGCCTGTTCGGAGTTTCAGAGTATATCTGATAGTGGGCGGTTAATCAGGAAGTTAGCGATACATCGGTTATAGTACGTACTATGTCGCGCAGATCGATTATAGGCAAACAAACCCGAAGGACAAACGGAAGTTTGGGAACAGCCTCCATTTGCATATCTAAGAATTTTGACGCAGTGCGGCGAAAGTATGAGCGAAAAACATAATAGGGGGCGCCCTTAAAATATTATTGTTTTTCGACAAGATTCATTTCTACTGATATTATTACAACTTAATTACTGACGGTTATATTGCTTTGTAAAATCAAAGAGATTGCTGATTGGTCAAAAGTGTAAGCCCTGTCTCTTATACACATCTAGATGTGTATAAGAGACAGATATATATATAAGTGGACGGTTAACTCAATAAAAAGCGGCACTGTGGATGGCGATATTTTTGTTGTCATGGGAACCGCAGTCATCTGTATTCGGACGCTAACTTGAGACTAAAACGACCATAAAACATCATTAATAATGTCGTTATGCGTTACAACATATGGACATTTACGGGCATAATTACAATGAAAAGGGTTGTAATCTTAAGATGTTGTGGTACCATTTTGTTTGTGGCACTATACTCAGATTAATGGTTCTCATTCGTTTTATGAGGCTTATCCAGCCCGTTCAATATTGATACAGTAGTAGATAATGTTAGTTTGTGTGCATTTGTAACACATAACATCAAATAAAATGAAATGAAACACAATATTAACCTCATTAGTAACACTAAATAAATATAACTACCAATTATACCAAAAAAAACGAAAGCAATTTATGCCTATAAATTGTGCAAGAAATTTAATGTATTTTAATTAAAATTAAGACCGACAGAAATCAAAATTCACCACGTAAACAAATAGAATTTTTACGTATTGCTCATAACAGTTTACGTTCATTGTCCATAAATTCCAACACAAGCTTAGATTGTTCACGTTACGTTTATATAGACCTGTATAGCGAGAACACAGATAAAATAAACGAATTTAGCCCTTATTCGGTCTCTGTCAACAGTATTTTTTATAGGACTAGGCTTTTGTAATCAAGGGTCAAGTGAAGCGCAAATAACAAGTCCTCCAGCACTGGTAAGAAGTATTCTCTGACGTCACGCAAATATGGGGTACCCTGGGAATTAGGTACAGAGAGGGCAGCAAATGTTACTGTGGGTGCATTTGAGGCTTACAATACATAGCATATTTATTAAGAAAAAATGTATTTGTACTATGCAATATGCTAGTAAGTACCGGGTTTCGGTGACTGGGGGGCCGGTAAAAAAATACTTGAATCACGACATTTAATTAGAATTAAGTTTATAACTGTAGGCCTACTACTGTAATACAAAAATATCTCTGCTATAACGAATCAGACCTCCCAAAGCCGTTGTCGTGTGCCGCCGTCTCGTGTGTGACGCTGTCGTGTGCCGTTGTTGACGTCTTGCTGTCGTGCGTCGCGCTGTCGTCGCGTACTGTGCGCAGATTTTTGTGATGTCATTTACGTCTTCAGATGATTTGAATACAGGACCTTTGACTAGCTCACAAGAAAGTACCACTATGATAATTTGAGGGCTACTTCAAATTTGTATATCCATTACTGTACCTTCAGCTGTGTGAATATATACCGTAGTAAAACATATTTGTACCCGGCTTTCTGTCTGATCATGTGCTCTACTTGGTTGAAACAATCATAGGCCTATTTACTTAAGGGCTAAAAAATAATTGTCTTACTGATTGATAAAAGGGTTTTTACATTCTTCTTTCTGTAGATGTGCCTGTCAGTGTTAGCAAACACGTTTACTTCATTATTTTGGGAGTTTCTTAGAGGAGGTAGTTAGGCCTATTACCTCCTTTGCTTTTCTAAATGACCGCCTGAGAAGAAAATTTACCGTCTTAATCCAACAAATGCATCGATCATATTCTAACTGAAGCCTTCCATCAGCGCTTTTCTAATTTTGTGCGTTTAGAAATAATGAAGATTAAAGCTGCATTGAGTTTTTGATGGTGGGGGGGTGCTTAAACCCCTCCCCCCCCCGCTGGCACCGACACTGCCTAGGAGTCGGGGCCCTGCAGACTGCCGCACGAGCTCGAGCGCATAGGCGTTACGCCACTGGAGCCCCACCTTTAAATATGCAAATGAGGCTACGCGTTTTGCACAGCCACCAATCGCAGGACGGAATAGATTTTTATAATTTCTAACAGGCATAGAATGGAGAATGTGGGCTCACTTATTTCATGGAGGTATTATTATCAGTAATACCTCCATGCTTATATTATGACGTGACACTTTAAGAAGATGAAGATTAAGATCTACGATAGGCCTACTATTGGATTTACGCGTTATCGACTTGTCTGTCACAATGCTTCCGTCAGAACAATCTAAATATACAACGAAATACGAGACTCAATCGGTGGGGATTCTTAGTAATCGATGATGATACTCAAAATAAACAACTTAATAAATCATCATTGGAAATAGATTATCTTTTTCTGTTTAACTTTCTATTGTATTTTTGATTTATGCAATCAATACCGAATCGCTTTTCTTTTTATTAGTTGTAGGGCTTTGGATAGGCCCTATATACATTATGCACACATAGTATATATGTATGTTTGAGGCAAACATTATGTAGGCCAGGACGGCTACCTAACCAAAGTCCGAGAGTTGTCTCCTTTGACCTCATTGATAATAATTATAATGATGCTCCATAAAAGTTATAATCTTGTACATTTCACAGTTCCTTTAAAGCTGGCTTTTTTTTTTATCACATTCATGGCGTCTGAGAGTTTACATATCGACCTAATAAACCATCTTATAAGTGTTATTAGATAGCCAAGCGTGTCTATACATCTGCTATCGATACTTAAGTATGCATTCAGTCAACTAAACGAGCCTATACTCACAATTGTAGCATTTGTATTATTAAGTATACACTGCGGTTGCACAAATAGGTGATTTATTAACAGACTGTTTAAGCTGGTATATAGGTTTCACACACACAGACACCCGTAGACTGTAGGCTAAATAAAAATACATTAAGGGTAACATATTCACTATTTATTCACTTGCTGCCTTTCCCTGGTTTCCATAAAGTCGGTACACACTATATAAGGCTTTAGTCCCACGTGTCACAACCTTCCTTATCTCTGTGAGTCGTCTGCAACAATAATTATAGACCCTATTCGAATGTGGATGTAATTCCGTCCTTCAACGCCCAGTAAGGGTGACGGCGGAAAAGTACGCTTGCCTACTTACTCACTCACTCACTCACTCTCTCACTCATAACTCACATCCTTACAAACCAACATTAAGGGGCTGGTCCAACCTCGTTTTCCTGACATAGTATGTGTAATTTAATACTTTAGGCCTAGACGTCTAAGCCTTCTATCATGCTCTATTTCTAAACTATTACCAGACTAAAGTAATCCAGAACCACCATCTTTTGAAGTATTCGATATTTAATGACAACAAACTTATCTAAATATACATGTAGGAAACAACCCACAAAATTAATCCCATTAAATGTCGGTTTAATTAATATAAATATTTGCACTCGTTCCCGGCGTTCATTATTTTCCTATTCTCGTTTTACAGAGAGGAAATATAATTATATAAAATTGTTTTAATCTTAAAAACGTGGTATGTTTCATAAGAAGAATATGTAGAACAATAGAGCGAAAAACATTAAAGAGAAACCGATTACATAAAGAAAGAAAAGACATCCCCAAAATGTTATCAAATTACATAAAAACAAGAAAGATCCTATATCAAGATTGGAAAAGAATTGAGTAGGCCTATATTCCGTTTTTAAAGACAAAAAAAAGAACTTGTGTGTCAAAGAAAAACGATGTGGATCAATAGAGCGAAAAACTTAAAGAGGAAATGTTAAATCAAATTTAGTATGCAAAGAAGATCCCATATCAAGATTGAGAATTGAGAAGAATTGAGTAGGCCTACAGTATATTACGCAAGGCGTCGTGATTTAATTCACCATTGTTCAACTTTTATGATGATCAAACCAAACATTCGTTAATTTTAAAACAAAGCATAATGTTATCTGTATATATTTTCAATTTATCACTCTTTTGATGGTTATTACCAATTCATAAAATACAAGAGAAATACGTCTTTATTTGGCGTTTAAAACGTACATTCAGTGATCAAATATTTATTATGTAAAAATTGTAAAATACAAGAGGCAGATTCTTAATCATTATCATTGAATAAGATAATAGGCCTGTATTCGAATTTTCAACTTAATTACTGACGGTTATATTGCTTTGTAAAATCAAAGAGATTGCTGATTGGTCAAAAGTGTAAGCCCCACACTTTCTAATCAGTCGATGCTAATCTGCAATGTATCGTGAAACCCGTAAATATCATTATTCGTGAATACTGTCCCCTAGCTTCGTCACCTCGACATTTGGGTATCTCGCTTGCATCTGTATGTAAACCACACAGAGCACCTCAATGATTTTATAACTTATTGTCCGTCGTAATAACACCAATGAAAATCACTATAAAATCTAGGCTACTCTAGAACACGAAACCATCTAAATTAGCAGGTTTCAGGCTACCACCAGAATCGATTTAATTCTCCAAATTCTTGGTAGTCTGAAAAATATTGCCCGTCTCCCCGCGAACCCAGTTACTTAAACTGCGCCCGCGGGAATTACGCTAACATATAGATTAATGCATAGACCAAAAGCGATTTGTTTTTCTCGGCTCAAAAGTTATATCTTGCATCCGTTAAGCCGGACATACACTGCGTCAACCATAGAGAGCTTGACGATAGGATGCCGCCTGCTGATAGCTGGTGATAAGTGACGTCGAAAATGATCTATCTTTATGGAATCGCGTACGACCCTACGCGTGTGCAGTGTGGTATCCGGGTTTAGATGGCAAAATATAAGGAGAAGGCACAATTTACATTTATCAACACACACAGACAAGTATGTACTTCTTTGTCTCCCTTTAAAGTCTTCCTTTCCATCCGTTCCCCAAATTGTAGTACTTTTGTTTGATCATGGTATAGTTTCATGTTTACTTGGACGTCATCATGGTTACAAACTCTGATAAGAAAGAAAAACAAATTGGATTTATTTTGAGTTCTACTGGCAAAAAGAGGACTGCAAGGATGAACAATTAATTAATTAATTGCTAATAATATTTGTATTGGGAAAATGACATTAGTCGATCTAATTGTGGCCAAACGGTTTTAACAATTACTTAGGGCCCCTAATATTCAATTTGTTTATGAGGCAAACAACCCAGTTCTTGCATATAAAATCTTATTTATATGTGTTGCCAACTTTGTAAAGTAAGACGATCCCGAGAAACATTTCCTGTTGCCTAACTTCAATTTTTTGTAGGTCCAGGACCTGACTAACGTGCGGTTGATAACTTTACGGCCGGTTGTTCAAGCTGTTAACAACAGTAAACATGATCACGTGGCCACTTTTCTGTGTTTTTTTTTTTGTTTTGTTTTGTTTTGTTTTGTTTTGTGTTTTTTGTGTTTTTCTGTGTGTGTATGTTTTTTGTGGGGTTTTTTTTGTGTGTTTTTAAGTCAAGTCAAGTCAAGTTTCAATTATTAATAACTTACCTTCATAATTGACCTGACCATCTCCGTCCAAGTCGGCCTCTCTGATCATCTCATCAACTTCCTCTTCAGTCAGTTTTTCACCAAGATTAGTCATCACATGACGTAACTCCGCCGCACTATGGCGAAATAATAATATTTACATGATTAGTTTTTAACCACAATATTTATGTACAGGATCAATTATTTGGTGTTTCTACATTGAGTACGTGAGAGCATGTTGTACGCCTACCTTATGAAGCCGTTACCATCCTTGTCAAAGACCCTAAACGCCTCTCTAATCTCCTCTTCGCTGTCAACTTCTTTCATTTTTCTTGCCATCATGGTTAAGAATTCTGGAAAGTCTATTGTTCCATTTCCTGTATCGGGTAGAGAATGAGATTGGTATGAAGTGCATCTGATTAATACCAAATATAAAACAGGAAAACACAAAGAAACTTTCGATGTGGCTTCAGTTCGACACCAAGTTTGTCAAACATTCAGCAAAAGAGGGCGCTAGACAACAATGTTAAGTTGAGATGGCTACACAATTATATTTTTACTATTGTCAGAAGACATGATGCTACATTAATAATAAAAATAATGGCTATAACGGTAACGATGATAAAGTTAATGATTGATAATGATATAATGATAACGGCATTAATAACGATAACTAAAATGATGGTAACGATATAAGCCAAATAACATTATTAACAGTAAAGATAACAATAATGATAAGGAAAAATAACATCAATGATGATCATGATCATGATGAGGATGACGATGATGATGAAGTAGAAGATAATCATGATAATAATGATCCCGGTATGGATGATAGTAACATTTTACTTTATATAACATATTGGTTGTCACCTGTATTCTTGAGCGGACTAAAACAGTGGAAGATTTGGGGATGGGGGCCTGTCGGTCCGCTTCCCCTCCTCTTTTTGGAAAGTAAGAAAAACGAAAAAAAAAAACAAAAACAAAAAAACAAACAAACAAAGAAAAAACAAAAAGAAATTATTGATCACCCAAAACGCCTCAGAGGTTATTTCCGGGCGTTTAGAAGACAAAAATTTCCCGGGGGACCCCCTGTAATGTTGTTTCTCGATCGCATCCCCTCCTTTCGGACATCTTTAGATCCGCATCTGTAAAACGTAGGTAAACTGCATGAACTTGTAGACCCCATTCCGTTCCCGGGGGAGGGGCAAGGTTCAGGAAAACTAAAGTATTTAGCCCCTGGACCTCATCATACCACTTTTGTGGGCCCCTGGACCTAATCTCTAAACAACCCCTCCCCCCTCCCTCTCTCTCTCTCTCTCTCTCTCTCTCTCTCTCTCTCTCTTGTGTACCCTAGATGCAGGCAGAAACATGCAATACATTTGGGCGTTGTTTGGCCTACGTACCGTCGACATCTACTTCGTTGATCATATCCTGGAGTTCTGCTTCCGTTGGGTTTTGTCCCAATGATCGCATCACAGTTCCCAGTTCCTTAGTGGTAATACTACCGTCGCCATCTTTGTCGAATAGTGAGAAGGCCTCCTTGAATTCTAAAATACAAATTGAGCGATAACTATTATTGATTGGATATAATATGGAATAATAGCCTAAGATTAGCATATTGACACGTGTGTGAGGCACTCTAGCAGAAGAATATTGTATCCACGTCCTATGACAATATTATCATTCTACAGGATAAACCTAAACACAGTTTGTTTTGTTTTGCTGTTCATTTCTCATCCGTATATCAATCCAACAATAGCGCTTGAAATTCTCATTTTCCCGAACAGTATACGGTACTGTACTCCTATAAACATACAAAATACAAATACATAATTATTATAATTTTTAGACTTCCTTTCAACCAGATAATAATTCTAACAATCCTGTTGAAAACACTATGCATTTAGTCATAGTAGGCATTAGGCCTATCATTAATTCGAATGTGACTGCCATGCCAATCAATATATGACCGGGTATCACGAAGTTTGTAGAAATTCACCTGATGATGATGATGTGTTGACGTATCTAAACATGTTGTTTTGTATATTTTGTATTTTATTAGATGCTTTACTGAATCATCATCATCATTGAGGACCCCTATGGAAACAAGCTCATATGAGCTTATATGGTTATCCTCTTGCTTTCATTTTTGTGTGTTTTTATGTACTTGTTTTTTATTGTGATATTAAAATTAATGAGGGCAATAAATAATTTTTTAAAAATCGTCGTTAATAAAAACATTGTTATCATTATTAATAATATTTTTACTATCATTATTGAAATGTGTTGATAATAATTTTATTTTTTAATTAAGTTATTATATCTTAATGTATCAATAAAATTATCTACTTTCTAGTCTAGGTAATTATTAATTCGACTCAAATTCAGTGTCGGAACTCGTTGAATATGATTTCTCATTTCGCTATACAGATCGATTCTTCACAATACAAGCGCGTACAAAGTATCGATTTCGCGCGCCGGGATCGACTCAGGCTTATTCAGCCGGAACATTTAATGGATTGCCGAAGGGAAGCAAACGGGCATCGGTGACTTAAACTATACTTGGTAATCATATCCATTGTAATTAGTAATAATTAACGTCTTTGAGATATATCATGCGAACGCTTAATCCGTTTATGTTAGCGTCCAGGTGTTGAAAAAAATCTGTAATATATATATAGTATATAAATAAACTCTGAACCGTCTTGCGGTAATGCTATAAATATAGTATATATAGATACATTTTAAACGTTAAAGAATAGGAATCTGCAAGTGTGAAAAAATAGTTTCCCCCAACATTGATTCGTACCCTGGACCTTCTGCTCTCTATGCCGACGCCTTAACCAACTGGGCCATTGAGGCTTTGTTGGGAGTTCAAATCATATGTTCGTATACCAGTACGCGACCGTATGCCAGGCTTCATTATTGAATGATTTGGACAGACAATGTTGCATCTTGTATTTTGATGTCAAATCATTGCCTAAGTTCTGTGAGAAATGTATCTAAAATAATTAGTTTTGAAGCAATGCAATGTCATATTCCTAATTGAGCTGTTTAGTCGTATACGATTTTCGACTAAAATGGGACGAATGTTTGCAATAATGTCGTCCACACGTCAACAAGTTAAGCACGGATCAAGTTCACATATTGTGATATATGTAATGTGTGTTTCTAATTCTTTATTACTTTATGAGTTGTTACTAATATGCATCGAAGTTATAGTATTGGATAATTGGTGACTAACGCATGCGGATGATTTAGCTTATGATAAGTCTAAATGCCATAGCATTTAATCGTTGGGATATTTTATATTCATTGTGATCATGTATTATCATAATCATCATGATGATCATCAACATCATCATTACCACCACCACTATCATCATCATTATCATCAGTATTATTATCATCATTATCATCATTGTCACCTTTTTTCATCAACAACATCATTACCAAAATCATCGTCCTTATTATTATTTCCTCACCTTCATCATCATCATTCTTATCATCATAATCATTATCATTGTTAGTGTTCTTTCTCTACTTCCTTTAGTCGTTATTTTTGGAGGAGAAGATTCTAACAAGAGTAGGCCTGTTCATGGTTGTATGTCTACCCAGACCTAAATGAAAATTTATTTTTAAGTCGTGACCATAGTGAATGATTTAAATTCGTTGTGCCAACCACTGGAAATTTTCGAAGCAAAAAACATTATAACGCTTAAGTCAAATATCAACTAATATCACCCTTTTCCCAGATAGTTCCCCATCACTTAACCATCGAGCCCTCACTCCACTGTCCCCCCCCCCCTCAATCGCCCGCTTAATATTTCTATATACACCACTTCTGGAATGAAACCACAAGTGCACCATCAAGATGGTTAGGTAAGACTCATGATTGATATGGGATTGCTGCTCAGAATGGACTCATTGCACTCTGACCACACGACCGCTATCCAAGGTATCAATGAAATAGTTTCAACTTACCTGCAATCTGTTCTTCCGTCAATTGCTGTTCAGCAGACTAAGGGACAAGGACAAACCGTATTTATGTTTTAAGTATGTTTTAAACACATATGAAAATATGCTAATATCGTTAAAGTAGCTTATTAAACGCCATTTATAATGCTATTAGTAATGTAAGTACGCTACTTAGTGAAAGATGATAACTGGTATACCAATGATAACTACAGGCATGTGAATAATTGCAGACATTGTAAGGTAGGAGGCATACGGGTATAAGAGAGTCTAAATTAAACAAGCAGGTAACACTATGCTTTTTCTTATTTTTTACATTATAGTTTCATTATTAATATCATCATTATTCTTTTTAATATTCTAATATATAAATATAGACATATATATAAATATATAGGTCAATATTATTATTATTAATAATATAATAATAATTATAATTATAATTATTATTATTATTATTATTATTATTATTATTATTATATCATCATTACCATTACCCCATTCTCGACATCATCGTCATTATTATAATGTTCATCATTATCATTATTATTATCATCGATTTTATCATAAGTACGTCCGAAACTAATTAACAATAACAACGATAATATTAACAGATACAAGAACAATGATAATAATAATAATGATTTTCCAATTATACCGCACATTACAAAGATTGACTGCGTTTAAGAAATAAGTCGTGATTATTATGGTTTTCATAAAGTTCCATCTCTACATATTAATGCTAATTATATTAAAAATAATCTAATCTAGAAACGGTTAGAGATTAAGAAGTCATAACAGGAAATGAAAGGAGTAGTAGGCCTAATTATAAAATGTATGATATATCAATATACACTCAAACATCGATGCTCGATTGTTATTAAAGTAATTTAGGCCTAATCGATGTTTGACGATTGGACGACACTTTCTAGGCCTATATATAAAAAAAACATTTAAATATATAATTTACATTATAAGTAAAGATTCGGTATGTTCACTAGCGGAACCATATCTCATTGTGAACCAAATATAGATAATGTAGAACTCACCATATTAATTCGTAGAACTATCCAAAAAGTATTAGAAAGTATTTGGCAAGTAGAGGATGACGAGTTATGCAAGTTGTGAAGCGAGCAGGAGGAGTGTTGTACTGTATTCGCTTTGCTCTTGTTGTGACAACTGACAACTTGTGCAGGCACAGATGCACGGAGTTTAGAGTTTTACGCATTTCTCTCACTGCACCAAATCGATATTTGGATTAATTAATAGTTTGTTTAATGCCTTGCTAATAATCAACAATATTACGCGTGAAGGCCTTTTCACGTCCACGTTCGAAAAAATCCATATGATCGTACTCGCTTCGACATTTTCACACTTCGCTCCACATTGGCCTTCGCTGTCGTTCGTGCACCTTTCGACAGTAAGTAATGTGGATGGAAACTATAAAGTATGTTCACGATTCGGTACCACAAATTCACGGAGGAGTAAAGTCAATCACGCGTGAACACGAGGATAAGCAAGCATGTGAACACGATATTGAACAAGCGTGTTGAAATGGAATAGACAAGCGTAGGTCTATGTGAACACGATGCAAGACCGGAAGCAAACGTGTGGACACGAATAAGACTACTATAGGTTTGAGGAAACCTGTGGACATGATAGACCTACTGTACAACCAAAGTCAGTTGCCACCAATGTCAGCCCAACATTATGCATTAATCATCCCTCTTTATATTTTGAACATCTCATGGGTATAATCGTATAATCCATATTTTTGCAAAACATTAAGCTCAATATAGAATAGACCTCGATTGTCACGTGCTGTAGACAACTATTACAAGCTAAACTAAACAGCGTCGCCAACACTAATAGCATTGTTACTGTGAGAGTTATAATAGCAAAACACTGAAAAATTATAGTATACTTAAGCAAATATTTTAATGGCTTGGCCCTATCCACTCCACTCTTGTAGTGCTTGGATTCGAATATCGAGGTGCATGGCTTCATGGGATGCGGCACTTTGGCATGCGAAGCTTTTATCCTGGCCCGTAGGGGGGGGGGGGTGCAGAAGTTGCGGACGCACCCCTCCAAATTTCAAAAGGTCCACTTTTTAAAACCTATGATTTCACAAAATCGTTCCTAATTATCACAAATATAGCAGATTGATTGCAGATTGGTGATTGCAGATTGCTATATAATATGAAGAATGTTATCTATAGGCCTGCAGATGTAGGCCCTACGGTACAGGACATAATAACGTTAATATTTCAGGTCCCAAAAACACCCAAATTAATGAAAATTTAAATGAAATATTTATAAATTATGTGTTTGAGAAATCTATTATGTAAGACCCTCAAAAATGCTACTTTGTCGCTTTTCTCACAAACCCCCTCCAGGCCTCTGCCCCTGGACCACCAAATTTCAAAAAGTCCACTTTTTAAAACCTATTATACTAAAATAGTTACTAATTATCGCGAAATGATAGTATGCATTACATTTTTTGCCCGCTCTTCTACCCGTTGATTTTTTATAATGTGCTACGAAATCTGTTGGAAATTATCAGCTCCAGTGATTGTAGGCCTACAGATGTAAAGGACATGAAAAATTATAATTTCACAGTGGTGGATTCAAGGGGAAGAGCAGCCCCCTAAAATTATAAAAGAAATGGAGAAAAAAGAAAAATCATAATTAAAGTTTGTCTGAGAGTGCCATTTCCGGCCACTTTGAGGTGCCATAATCATAAATTTTCTTACCTCAGCCCCAACCATGGTGGGGCTCAGGTGGTATTGACCATCTGTCTGTGCAAGTTTCTCCCTTCACCCCACCCTCTATTTCTTCTGCTTTAGTGTAGGTCCGTAGACAATACTCAAATTAATGAAAATTTAAATGGGATATTACAAATTATGGATTTTAGAAATCCATTAAAAAAGGCCCTCAAAATGCTAATTTTGTCAGAGCTTCCAGAAGATTCGCCCCACCCTCGCTGGGATCCCTAGGCAGTCGCCCATCGTAAGGTCCACTTCGGTTGCAAAACGCACCTCCCCATTGAAAATCCTTCCTACTGGCCTGTTATAACATTTTATTTAACTTTACTTTTCTTATTATGTTTAGCAGTCGTGGTGAATGAGCGCCTTTGTATTTGATACCGGAAACTCAAACAGATATCGTATGTAGTTTAATTATGTGACATTTACACACATGACTATGCCTAAACTTTCACAGTTTACTAACTAAAAATAATTTATCCGATTTTATTAAGGTGGAACTGAAAGAAATGCTCATCAATCCACCATCAGGATAACACGGACTGCGCATGTCGGCGATAGCCGAACCTAGCCATGATTTCTTTGACTTGAATTCTCTAACAGTATCATTAGATCGATGTTATGCCCCTGTGAAAATCAATATTACTATTATTTGAATCCCACTGGATTTGAGTGACACCGGGAGTATGTTTTTCCTGATGCCAGGTCGAGTCACATTATAATCCATCAGACGTAGAG